CAGTTCGTGAGTGGGGGGTAATTAGGATCATATGTGGGATCCAGTTCAACATTCACTTCTTCTTTGAATTCTGACTGAATATCATCATCGTTTGAATTCGCATTCTCCCCCTCGAATGATGATACTTCCTCAGCTTTCGGCTCAGAATTCTACCTATGGACTTGACTTTCGGGTGGTATTGATGATGGACTCTCCCTCTTGAATAGTAAATCTTGGTTATTTGGAGAAGACGAACCCTCCCCCTGAACATAAGAACTAACTCTTGGAGGTTCGCTTGAGTCAGGTTGTTCGGTTGCTGGTGGTTGTTCATCTGCCATTTTCTTTGCAACTTCATCGATTATCTTTTTTAGGTTGTCTACCATGTTATCTACAGCTTTGGATTCAGAGTGAAATGCCTTTTCTGGTTCATCAAACAGGAACATATATTGCTCAAAGAGGTTTGAGATTGGTACCGTAGGTTGACCAGATTTAGGAAATATTTCCTCCACAGAACCTATGGTTGTCTTCAGTTTCTTAACGTAGTTATCATCGAAGGATACATAGTAAGTCTCTTCGAATTTCTTTGAACGCTTGTTCAAGACTCTGTATGCTTTGGATTTTAATGAGTAACCCAAAAAGATTCCTTTATCTGCTTTGACGTCAAACTTGTTTTGGTGCTCTTTTGAATTAAAGATGAAGCATCTTGAATCGAATACATGAAAAAACTTTACATTAGGCTTTCGGTTATTCAAGATCTCATATGGAGTGATGGAAAACATTTGTTGAGACAAGATATTTTCTGTGTGTAGCAAGCAGCAGCAATGGCATCCGCCCAGAAATATAGAGGTTGAGAAGCGAAGCTAAGCATGGTTCGGGCTGTTTCACATAGAGATTGGTTTCGCTTTTCTACAATTCCATTCTGTTGTGGAGTATATGGAGCCGAGAAGTTGTGAGTTGTCCCCTTTTCTACAAGAATTCTTCAAAGTCTTTGTTCTTGAACTACAACCCGTTGTCGCTTCTGATATTTCGAACCACCTTTCGTAGTTGAACTTCTACCTGCTTGACAAAATGTCTAAGCTTGGGAGGGGCCTCCAATTTCTGCCTCAAAACACAGGTAAACCGAGAGAAGTCATCCACTATTACAAGTATATACCTGTTACCACCAATGCTCTCGATTGAAGATGGACCACATAGATCAATTAGAAGTCATTCTAGTGGTTCAATAATTTTTGTATTAACTCGAGAAGGATGACTCTGTCGACTTTGTTTTCTCATTTCACACGCATCACACAAGTGTTCTTTATTGAAATTCAGAACAAGAAGACCTCAAACATGATCCAAAAGCACTAGCTTATTGATGTCTTTGAAATTGAGACAAGAGAGTCTTCGGTGCCAAAGCCAACTTTCGTCTGAATGAGCGTTTGTTAGCAGGCAAACTGCTAGATTCCCTCGAATGAGATTGAGATTCAAAGGGTACATCTCTCCTTTTTTCTTCGATTTCTGCAAGATATTGTTCGTCTTCTTTTCAATCATCTATGAGCCATCGTCATTGAATGAAACTTGTAACCCGGTACCAACCACATGTTGAGAAACACTGATAAGGTTGTGTTGTAAACCTTAAAGGTACGCCACTTTTTGTATAGAGAAATCACCATTGGTGATCATACCATAACCTTTGATCGTGCCAAAAGAATTATTACCATACTTGACACTTCCACCATCTTGAAGGGAAAAAATTTCCCTCAGCTCTTCCTTTCTCCGTGTCATGTGACGTGAGCAGCCACTGTCTATGTACTAGTCATCATCGAACTACTCGTCACGTATAACCTGCAAAAAATTAAGCAGATTTAGGAACCCAAAGTTCCTTGGGTCCTTGTGAGCCTTTTACGGAGCTGAGAATTGTAAGAGAAACATCAACTAAAAAGGTTCTTTTTATAAAGGTTGTTTCATCTTTTCTTTTTATGGTGAAAACTTTGATGTTATTAGATTTAAGCGCTTTAGTTTCGGTTTTTTAACTGACGTTAGTAGTCTTTCGGTTCTTTACTTTGGGTTCAAACGATGTCTTCTTTTTATTTTCTGGAAAGAGCTTTCCTTTTCCCTTTCGATCATTCTGTGCGTGAGAGTGAGAATGAGAAAGATGAGACCTCAGAGCAGAATTAAGCTTTTGGTCATTACTCTTACTTGGTTGAGATTCAAAACTACATTCCTTTTGGTTCCACTCATTGGTTGATCTAGGACTGAAACCATCCTTTCGTTTTCACACAAGTTTAGGACCTAAACTTCCTTTTCGGTTATCGTCCGTCTAATGACCGAAACTTCTCTTTTGGTTGCCATACCTTTGTGGACATGTAACAATCCGAAATTCAGGTGAATCTCTTAAACCCTTCTTCTTTATCAAGTTTTGTGACAACCCAAAAATTTCCACTTCAATAGAAGCCATGTCTGTTTCCGCTAACTTTCAAACTTTTGGGACAAGTTTGAGCAACTCAGGATTTACACTTAAGGAGATATCAGGAGAGACGTTGCACTTGGGTCTTGTGCAAATCTGTTATTTTAAAACTCTATGATATTAGAGTTCTTTTCGGGAATAAAATATTTTCTGCAAAAATCCCAGGGCTATATATAGAATTCTGAACAAAATTATTCATTAGTTACAATTCCAACTAGAGAAAAGCCAAATTCTCTCTCAAGGATCTTCAGACTTTTGTTCCGGAAAGTGTGTACTTCTATCTAGTGTTGTTTTAAAGCTTTATATATGCTTAATACACTAGAAATCATAGGAAAACACCAAGATCTGTGAGTTTACCGCCCAAGAACACCTTGGGGAGTAAACTCCATTTCAAGGGCCAAAGTGTGCCCAATGACCACTAAACCTTGGAAACCAAACATGGGACAAACCTTGACATATTTAGGCATCAAAAGCAATTAAAATCAAGTACCAATAGTGAGTTCATGGCCAAGGAAGTTCTCGGGCCGTGAACTCCATTTTAGGGTGCCAAAATGCCCTAAATGACTTCCGTAACCCAAGAGACAAGCATTGTACTTTACCTAGATGTGTTTAGGACCCAAAATAACCAAAATATTATCTCCCATAAGTGTTTACGGCCGCAAACACCTGACCAAATGGTCCATGGGCCGTAACCTCAAAATAGAGGTGTTTTGATGAAAAAAAACACATCCAAGGGCTTAGGCATTAATTTAGAATGCTTCTTTATGACCTTTAGGACCTTCATAAACATATTTGGACATGAATTTACGGTAGTAAACTCATTTGGGCCGTGAACACCTTAAAAACTCCAAAGAAGGTGGTATTTCTCACCCTAGGCTAGAGCTAATGTCCCTAAATAATTCCCTAGACTTCAAACTAGCAATAACCCATGAGTAACCATGAGTTTACGGCCGTAAACTCCCTTGGGCCATGAACTCATGGTAGTAAACTCATATGTGTGCCTGATACCTTCCTATGTTGAATCACATGTGATTCACATACTTGGTTAAGGTGTTTCCTAGTCCCGGAAGGTGTTTCCTTGTCCCGGAAGGTGTTTCCTTTCATATAGTTGTTTATAAACACCATATTGATGTCATTATGTGTCCTTAAATATCATTTAGGACTTATTGTTTCTCGGAACTTCATTCGTGGAACTTCTCATCCGTACGCGCATACCCGTTTGAATCACCCACATCAGGTAAGTTCATACCTCGTAATGAATCTTTTAACTATTTTAATTGTTTTAAGGGGGGGGGGAATACAAGTTGAAGACAATGATAATTGTGTAATTATTTGCTGTTAAGCATTTTTTCAAATTGTTACTTATGTTATTTATAAGTTGTTAAAACATTTCAAAACTCTTCTAAAGGATATGTTACTTTATAGTTATAGAAAACTCCATTTTTAAAGTATAAGCATAACTTTGTAGATAAATGAGTCTTTTCAATAACAATCCAGTTAGAGCATTAGTAAACTATTATAGGTATAGTTTAGGAGAATGCTATTCATTACTTCTAGTATAATGAAGCACACAAAGAGTCAATATCAGAACAAAACAGAATAGAACAGAACAGAACAGAATAGAACATAACATAACTAAAAAGTTAATTTGCTATAGTATGACAACACGCAAACATGATCTAACTTTAATGTGAATTACACGGCTTGCATGCATTTGCTCGGGTCGCGTTTGGTTCCCTCAATCTCCATACATGAGAGCGGGTTAGTAGGGGTTCTAGCTTTCACATTATGACCGTAATAAAACACACTTATGTTTTTAGGTTGATAGTACCTCCGTATGTCATTATAAACGACATCAGGGTACTCACTTTCTCCCATTACTTTCATAAAGTGTCGTTAACACTTGAAGGTTGATCTATTCACTAATCAAGGTAGGTTATAAACTAGGGAGAATGTATGTTACAGTTGACAAAGGAACATTAGAGTCTTGGTAGAAGACTGCCACTACTAGAAAAAAGGCCTTTTACGACGCTCATTGCGCGTCGTAAAGCGCTCAGACGACGTGCAAATGCGTGTCAAGGAAGGCCCTGTAATAAAGAGAGACGACGCGCTTTTGTGCGTCGTCTATAGATGACGTGCATTTATGACGCGCATTTACGACACGCGGTTATGACACGCAATGCGTATCAAGGAAGGCCCTGTCATAAAGGAAGACGATACACATTTGCGTGTCGTAACCTTACGACGCGCGTGTTTATGACACGCAATGCGTATCAAGGAAGCCCCTGTCAAGAAAGGCCATATCATAAATGAAGATGAGACACATTTTTGCGTATCATAATTTTAAATGTTCTAAAAAAATATTTATATATTTATTAATTTTTAAATTAAATATGCATTTAATGTCTCATAATAGAAATAAAATATCATATACAAAAAATACAATCCATTGCATAAAATTTAATGTCATAGAATTCTATTTTTTACAATATCTTAATTTGCATCTAATCTACTCTCTACATCAAATTCCAGCTAAGTAAAGTTGCTTCTTGCCTTTCATAATTCTTTAAGACTAATGCTCCAAACGGCTGTTATATGGATAAGAAGTTGTACATTGGACCATCTCACTCAAGAACGACTTAGCCAAATTCAACTCCAAGTCCTTATTGCATCTTGCTGATAATGCTGCAAGATTTGAATCAAGTGACTTCATATTACTTTCTTCCACCAACTTTACCTGATGCACAAAATACACGGAAACAAAAAAACCTTGTAGAGGAAGGGGTAATTTGGGAAAATGTGAGGGGTATCCTCTACAAAACAAAAAATATCCTTTGCAAGATTTGCTCTTTAGTATCCTCTGCAAAACAAAATAAAAAATATATATCAAAAAATAAATTCTTTTATAGTTTTATATTATAATTATGCCTAGAGTATTGCATACCTGAAGAACCATTTGTTAGCTCTACAACACTTTTTGAATCTGAACCAAGCTTTCATCACTAACACTAACACCTTTTGTAGCCCCTCAGACTACGCATAAAAGTTAGAAAAACTAAATATTCCAAAAATACCCCTAAGACTCTTTTTGTCCCAGAATCTGACTTAAACCACAAGCGATGCTTCGATTTCTCTGTTTCTTGCAACTTCAACATGGAGTGTTCTGATGTTGTATGTTGATATAATAAACAAATAACTAAAAGTAGGTTGTTATTTCTTAAAAAGTAATTCAACTTTGGCATATTATAGCTTACCTTCTCTGTTGGTGGCAACGGCAATGAGTTCTTTCATGGCTATATCAGAAACAAGATAAAACTACAGAAAAAAATGTAGGTTAACTCAGCAAATGATAAACCAATAGTTGGTAACTTACAATCTTTCTTTCATCATACAATCTTTATTCTTTAGGTATAATGTATTTATTAATCCAACAATATTGACATTATGCATAACTTGAATTCAAATATAAATTGGACAAGATATAATGTCTTTCTTAAGCAAATAGTTCAATATGCTACCCCATTATCGTTGACTATTAAAGAAATTGGGGCCAAATCTAACAGTAGAATGTTTATGACAATTAAGGCCTCATTTGGAAGCCAGCAACAATAATACAAGCTAGAAAAGAGAAAACAGGTGGTGTTTTTAAGTTATAATTTTGAATAGAAAAGGCAAAACTTCTATAACAACTACTAAAGCAACTAAAGTTAATATCATGATGCCTTCCTAAGATCCTGATGCTGATCTGGTATGCTTGCTTCCAATTTATTTTTCTTAAAAAACTTTCTAGAGGTAGTTATGTCATTTGCACACACAAGAGATTGAAAACAAGTCCTGGTCAAAGTTTCTGCCAAATATATAAATTTTTTATGTTATTATCATACAAAATATAGAAAAAGAGGTGAATATCTAATTTTTATTAACTGATTCTTTCTATATCACATGTCTCACATGTTATCAATAAAATCTAAAACCCAAAATGATCAATTTTTAAATAAACGAATTGAAATTGGGACGTTTAACGAAGTGTAAATGCAAACAATAAGAATGTTATAATTGGGTAAAGTTTTCAAAACACAATGCCTTGATAAGAAAAAAAAATGAAAATAGAATGTCTTAAAAAAAGAAATGAAAGTATGGTGCAATATAATACACAAATAAATGAACCATATTCAAAGGAATTGGAATTTGAAGGATCTGGAATCTCAAGAAGTTGGATTCTCTCACAGATTTGGTTAATGAGAAATAGATTGGAATTTGTAAACAATATGAAGAGGAAAAGTAAATGGAAATGCAAAAGAGATTTGTTTACTTGTGAGATATAGGGTTAAAAGGGTAGTTAGGGTATTTAATATTTATAATGAGACAGTTTTGCAAACATGATGCGGTATTAGAATGGAATCGAATTCCAGTTCCAATCCCAATTCCAATTCAGGCCAAATCACACAGAATATGACATAAAGGTGACTTAGACCACAAAACATCATAACTCAAGTGTAAAAGAAATCCATATAATTTAGGGTTCTGTGACTTCTTTATCAATTTGATTCAAAACTACTTCTAATCAGATTTGTCTAAAATCCAGACATTTTTATCTATATTTGCATCAAAGTCTTATTGAGAAGAGGGGAAACAATACTTTTCAATCAATAAACCATTTCTTTGTGATAGAAAGAAATGAAAAGTTTGTTTACCTTGGTGGAATAGGGAGGAAGCTTGAGGTAGTTGGCACATGTCATGACACTTGGCAAATCATCATCTGCAGATTCTGACACTCCACCCGCAGCATTTGATGCAGTGTTGTTGGAGCTTTGAAGAGCGTTGTAATTAATAAAGGGTTAGTGACTGAGGAGGGGCAATTTTGTAATTCACCTAGATAAAATTTTGAAAACAAGGGGTTGTTGAGGGGGGTTTTTCTACCTTTCTGACAATGGTCAACGTAGGGTTCAGGACAGCCAAGCCACCTGGAGGAAGCCGAGGTGCACCAGTAACAAACTGACAGACTGCCCTTTGCTGTTCTGGATTGAACTCTCTCATTGTCTCAAGCAACTAACAAAGAGACATAAACAAAATTATTAATATTAACTATACTACAAATTTATAAATCTTCCCTAAATATCGCTAAAAAAAATAAATTACTCACATTAATTACTCCAGGGCTCTTGGATGTGTATCCATGGTCGAATTTTATGTGTTCCACAAGTGTATCAGCCTGCATTTAAAAGAAACATGAATTCTCTACATCATATCATTTTCAAAAAGAATACATGTTATGTTTAAGTAGAAAAAATATGAGCAAATTACCTCCCACATTTCTCTACACCCACAGAGTAAATAATCCAACTCAGTCGGAGAAAATATTTGTAAACTTGAAGCCTCAAAAACCTGATAGTAATAAGATAAAATATTAGCTTAAAAAAATTATTTTGTATATTTTCTAATTCCATAAAAAATTTACCATATTTGAATGTTGGAAAAACATGATGACCTGATTAAAGCCAGCTCTAAATGCTTCCAATTGCCTTGTGATACAGAGAATCAAACTTACTTCTTGTTTCTCCTCCCACGTTTAGGTCCCCGTCCTTCAAGATTTGCAACAGGGCAACCCACATATGAAGTTCATATGTGGTGGAACTTGTCAAATAAAAGAAAAAGAAAGAACTGAATGCGTTCATCTTAATCGGTCACTTCAATCAAGAATTAGTGCCCAAAATCATCGGGTCTCTAAGTGTAAGAAAATTAGTGTGATTATGATGGGAACCAGAGTTCAAATTCACCCGTGGCTGATGAGTCTGAAGGGTTTGGATTCTCAGAGAAGGACTTGGTATGCTGAGCCAAGTCCTTGTAAGGGCTATTTGAGGTCCAATGGTCTCCTTTCTTCCCACATGTCCTGCATACCATCAATATATCTCCTCCTTTCGAAATTTGAGCTAATGGGTCTCCAACTGCATTTGAGTCTTCAACTTTTGTATGTAAAAGACAAAAATTTGCATTCACAATCTGCATATCTAACAAGCAGCAATGAAATTGAGATAGATTCCTAAGTTTTTAAATCGGTAGTGATTGACTATTGCCATGATGATTGATATGTGCATAGTGAATTGCAACTGAAACTGTTGATCTAGGCAATAAACCTGATGTAAAGAACTAGGGCTAGATGTAAATAAAGTAATAAACTTCTTCAACTACATATGTCTTAACAATTTCACATAAATAATTATAAAGGATTCTTACAAGTATCTGAAATTTCAGATCTAGGGATGACGTACCTGGAGCCCTTGGTTGCTCAAAGATGATTTCCTCGGTAGAAACCATGGTGAGTTTGGCACCGACGTCCTCTTGAATGACATCACCGAAATAAGGCCAAGTACGCCTCTCCATGGCGCGCTTGCTCAGCCGAGCATTAGCGATTTTACGGATGCATGTGGTGGTGGTAATCTTAACCCGATTACCTTCGTCGTTGAATTTGTACTTTCAACCCGTGTTCATCGGGTCCAATAACCTGTTTCGACGGCAACAAATAGTCATAATCACCGCCATCAGCTTCTTCCTCCAATTCGCCCCATCTGGGTTTTTGAGCCATGTCAGCGAAGCTGCTAGAATTGTTGCTGACGGAAAATTAGGGTAGGAGATTTGAAGTGGTAATGTGAATAAGATGAAGATGTAATGAAGTCGGTTGTTGTGATTCTTTAGGCTTCAAAATTGATAGATTTTTTTTCGATTCTTTCAAGTTTGAATCAGAAAATGAGAAAGAGTTAGGGAAATCAAGAGTGCAATGCTCGTCCTTGTTAGGTTGAAGATGAAAGATAGATAGAAGATAGAAAAAACATGGCGGGTTTTCAAAATTTTGGGGATTTCATTTCCCCCCTTGTCTACTAAAAGCGCGTTTCATTAAAATTATAAAGCGACAGGTACAGACGACACGCGTTTAAGATAAAGCACCCTCCGTGTTTTTCATTTTTTTTCTTGAGACACTAAATTAAGGGCACGCAATAAAGCGTGACGTAAATCCTTAAATTTTTTGGAGAGATGACACTATTTTAAGGGCACGTCCTTTTGCGTATCGTTAATTATCGCGTATCGTAAAAAGCGAGTCATTAAAGATCTGTTTTCTAGTAGTGTGCTTTCATAACAGTAGAGTCTTGGTAGAAGTCTGCTTTCAAAACAGTAGGGTCTTGGTAGAAGACTGCTTTCATAACACTAGAGTCTGGGAAGAAGACTGCTTTCAAAACAGTAGGGTCTTGGTAGAAGACTGCTTTCAAAACAATCGATTCTTGGTAGAAGGCTACTTTTAAAAGTAAGGACCATGATGCTAACCTTATGATTCCGTAATGTATACACTATAGGATACATATATGTTAAGTTGTCACACCCCGAAAACCAAAGGCGGAAACGTTCCCGGGGTTGACTCCACGTTGAGTATCAAATCCAATGTACATAGTAATCACAGTAAACAACCATTACATTACTTATATATATATATATATATATATATATATATATATATATATATATATATGAAAGTTTACATTTGGTTCAAAAGTAAATCGTACAAAAGTTATACATATATCATATGAACAAAAGAGACGAGTCTTCGGAGCACTCCGTCTTCACCAAAAGATATTGCCGGGTACCTGTCTAACTTGGACCTAAGAATACAAGCAGTTTGAAAATCAGCATAAAGCTGGTGAGTTCATAAGCGGTTTTGTTTTGTGAAAATGTATCGGTTTCCTTTAGTTTTCTGAAAAGGTTTGATATCCAAGAAAATCCCATATTTTCTTATGTAAAGTAGTTAAGTTATCTTTCGTTACAGTTCTGTTACAAAATATAAGTTAACCCCAGGAAAATCCCATATTTTCCTAAATGCAAGATTGATTGAATAACACAGAGTATAGTTTAATATACAAAACTATAATTTAGACGAACTGTAAATAGAAAGTATTTTGAAAACCTTGGGACTAACATCCCGAACCAGTTATAAGATAATTCGATAAAGACCATGGGATCACTATCCCGAAGATAGATATAAGATAGCTTTATAAAATCATGGGATTATCATCTCGTATAAGAGTTAGTTTCAAAACCATGGGATTACCATCCCGAACGAGATATAGAAACAAGATCATGGGATTATCATCCTGAACGAGAGATAGACATAAAACCATGGGATTACCATCCCGAACGAGATATAGATACAAGACCATGGGATTACCATCCCGAACAGATTTAGATTTTAAACAAATCCTAGCTGTGAATAAGTTTATATTAATACGTATTGTGAGTCGGGTAACCATGCTGATATGACAACGAGACCTCCTTGACGTTAGTCAGACGTCGAATGATATCCAGAATTTGTCACCCCAGGCGTGCCCGCCTAACTGTAACTAGCAGTTAAGGTGTGGGATTGTCAGTCCCGAATAGATCTATTCACAAATTCCTCGCTCTCCCTCCAGGAGACTTTGGTTACACTTCCGGAGAGGATTTACTTGATCATCCATAAAGGGTAGTGACTATCTCACAAGCTAGTATTAAACTATTCACAGGATTCTCATACGATAACAGACATACAAAGATTTTTAAGACATGATACAATGAAAATGGTTACATACTATGAAAATTATCTAGCAAAACATTCAAATGATACGGAGATAAACTGAATCAGACATAGTTTATCTAATATCTTAATACAGATATCAGTACATGATATAAAGAGAAACATAGAACCCCAAATTATTCCCATAATAATTTGATTAGTTTGATTATTTTCTTAACTAAAATCCATTTAGTTGTAATCGATAAATCATTCCTTATGCTCAACATAATACATAAGGAGTAAAAGAGTTTATAAATTTGCCAGATAAAATTTGAAACATATTAATGTTATAATTCGAAAACAGTTATAGTTTTGCTTGTATTCCCCCCTGAAAACATTGAAAAACACGGAAAAAGGCGTAGGGGTATGAACTCACCGGACGAGAAGTATGACGATTTGGACGCTAAGAGTTGATCCGGGGCTTGTAAATACACGAGGTTCCTAATTATAATGTAAAGATACACATTTGTATCTAATTAGGACTTAGATTGATTATTTGATAGGGACAATTGCTTCAAGTCGCGAAAACACTCCGATACAAGTGTTTGGAGGGACCCGGGTGGCGTTTAGGGACACATATAGTTAGGATAATGAATTGGGACATCAAAGGAACACTCCATAAGGAGTTTACGGCCTCATAACCCTCTACCCATGAGTTTACGGCCGTAAACTCATGGTGGGGTGAGTTAAGGTCAAAAATGGCATGAAACACTTAAGGGAATGTTTCTAGGTTTGGTTCTAAATGCTTGGAATGGATTTATATCACCAAAATGATTAACTTATGGGAGTTTACGGCCTAGTATAGGCTCCTGGCCATAAACTCCTTAATCCTCATGAAAATGGTGTTAAATGTTGCTAAAACAAATCAAATGTGATTAATAGAATTATTCCAAGGCCTAACATGAGTTTTATGGGACATTTGAGGGGTGTTATGGAGTTTACGGCCTATGAGACCCCCCTCATGGCCGTAAACTCTTCTATAGGGTGCTACAAGGTGTTTCAAGGTCTAAACCTTGCATAGAATGGCTTCTAAAATTCATCTAAAGGCTTTAGGGGTGTTTAGTTAGCATTCTAACACCATAAATTATGGAGTTTACGGCCCAAGAACAAGCCTTGGCCGTAAACTCTTAAAAATCCCACAAATAATGTGTGTAAGCCCTTAAACTATTTTTGGTTGGTCCTTTGATGTATTACAAGGCTTTTGGTCGTGTTGGATGGCTTTCTAACACCTTAGAATTGGATTTATGCCAAGTTTTGAGGAGTTTACGGCCCAAGCACATGCCTTGGCCGTAAACTCACCTAAATCCACCAAAAATCATGTTTCAAGTGTCCAAATGCTAAAACCAATATTCTATAATTCATATCTAAGCCATACTAGTGATTTGGAAGGGTTTAAGGGCATGAAAAACCCCATTTTCATGAGTTTACGGCCCAAGCTTATGCCTTGGCCGTAAACTCCTTAAAATGACTCAAAATCAAAGTTTTAAATGTTCTAAGTCCATATCTTGAAGTCCCTTAGCCATATCTAAAGTCCAAATGAGTTTAGGAAGGAGTTTAAGGGCTTAAAACCCTTCAAAATGGTGTTTACAGCCTAGGCAGCCTCCTGGGCCGTAAACTCACATATGTTGTCCTATTTCATGATTAAATGTCAAATTTGGAGGCCAAATATGCTATAGATTAAGGCTAGGAAGGTACCTTAAGGATTTGAGGCCTTAAAATTGAGTTTTGGACCCTTAATCTTTGGATTTTGGAGAGAGGTTAGAGAGAGAGTAAAGAGAGAAGGAAAAAGCTTCAAATGAGAGGTTAAACATGTTTATATAGTTCCTAAAACTTGGACACGGTGGAATTCTACCCAATACCGACCTTAAACGATGCTTTAGGTTGCACCCGATTGAGTTTCCGTCACCAGGCGAGGATATTTCTAAAACTTATGAAATAAATATTTTGGGCTAAATTCATGAGTTCCTAAATGATTTGGACCCTCATTGAATGATAATAAACATATAATTTTAGTTAACTAAACCCAAAAACGATATCGGGACATTTCGATCTCCGACGAGTTATACGGGTAGAATGGGTTTTCGGCGATGAACAACTTCGGGTTGTTACATTATCCCCCCGTTAGAGGGAATTTCATCCCGAAATTCAAAGAATGAAATACAGTTCATGGATTGGAATGAAACACAAATGGATTTGTTGCTTCGGATCTTCACTTTCTCAAGTGGAATCAGGTCTCTACTGGGTGTTTTAACGAATTCTCATTATCGGGACATGCCTTGATTTCGCTTCTTGACTCTCTCTCAATCTACTATATCAATTTCATTTCTTGTGGAAGTTCCAACCATGAACGACTTTGGTTTCCTCAAAGGGATCACTAGGGTTTCGTTGGGCAGACGTTTCTAAGGATTCGAGACGTGATGGTATAGATAAATGTTACCAAGTTCTAAGGGCATCCAAAACTTGAAGGTTGCAGGATCGATCTCTATGAAGATCTCAAAAGGTCTGATGTGAGACAAAACTAGATGCTCGAAAGAAACTCCCGGGAATCCTTTGGGATAGATATTTAGAGGAAAGAGCTGCTAACTTCCCGTTTCTCAATAATCACTGAAACGAGGGATGCGTGGTAATTCACATTGGGAAAACTTTTGAGTTCTATGGCATAGAATGATACGAAAGTTTGATGCCGAAGATCACGAGAACAGGTCGAGGAAAAATCTAGACGAGCGACCCTTTCGAAAGCAAAGATAACAACATGAATGAGACTCGGTCATTTCATGTTAAACATAGCATCAAAGTATTTTTATAGAAAGTTTCCCCCTTTTTAAATCGAATGGAACAGGATAGTCATCCGGACTGAGGATTCAATCTAAAGGTACGAAGTTAGTGTTCTCTATCACACTAGTTAGTCGTCTCGACGGTATACATTTCGATTACATACGAAGGATTGAGTTTAGAAAATGTTCGAATAGATAGATAACGGGTTTCCCTTT